CATCGGGCTCCCTGCTCTGCGGAAGCCTGCTTCTCCCTCTCCCACTCCCCCTGCTCGTGTTCCCTTTCTTGCTGTGTCTCTCTCTGTCAAATAAATAAATAAAATCTTTTTTAAAAAAAAGAAAGAAAAGAAGAAAGAGAGAGAAAAAAAGAGAGAGAGAGGGAGCGAGGGAAGGAGGAAGGAAGGAAAGAAGCCAGATGGCTGGGTGGCTCAGTCAGTTAAGTGTCTGCCTTTGGCTCAGGTCATGATCTCTGGGTCCTGGGATCGAGCCCCGCATCGGGCTCCCTGCTCTCCCCCTGTTTGTGCTCTCTCTCTGACAAATAAATAAAATCTGAAAAAAGGGAAAGAGAAAAAAACGTATAAACCTTTTCTTGGGGTGTCTGGCTAGCTTACCTGACAGAGCCACCCAGGCGTCCCTTTGGTGCATTTCAAAGCAAATTGCAAACATCTGTACACTTTGCCCTAAATACTTAAGCATGCATATCACTACCTAGGGGTCATATTTGTTTATTTTTTTCTCTTTTTAAATTTTATCTTAAAAACATTTTTTAAGATTTTATTTGTAAGCAGTCTCTATACGCAACGTGGGGCTTGAACTCACAACCCTGAGATCAAGAGTTGCAGACTCCACTGATGGAGTCAGCCAGGTGCCCCTAGTTTTTTTCTCTTTCAATGTAAAATTTATGTAAAATGAAATCCACCAGTCTTGGAGATATATTTGCCGAATTTTGATGGTACATGTCCCTACATAATCCAAACCCTCATCAAGGTATAGATTGTTACCATCACCCCCAGATTCTGTCACTCCTCAGTCATTCCTCCACCATCCCCCGGACGCTACCTCTGTTCTGATTTCCCTCCACCTTTAGTTAGTCGCGCTTGTTCTAGACTATCACAGATATGGAATCCTACCAATCACATGTGTGGCCTTTCGTGTCTGGCTTCTTTCACTTAGCAGAATGCTTTTGAGATTCATCCGTGTGGATGCATCTGTCAGTAATTTGTTCCTTTTTGTGGCTGAGTAGAATTCTCCTAGCTCTCTTTTGGTTTCTCCTTACCAGGTTTCTTTCCTTTTTTTTTTTTTTTTTCTTCCTAATAATGGCTTCATGGAGATATAATTCACCTATATAAAGTGTACATATAAAGTGTACAATGGTTTTTGGTATTCACAGAGTTGTGCAACCATCATACAATCAATATATATACACATATTTTAAAGATGTGTTTATTTATTTGAGAGGGAGAGCATGAGCAGGAGGGGCAGAGGGAGAAGGGGAGAGAATCTCAAGCAGACTTTGAGCTGAGCGTGGAGCCCAACGTGGGACTCGATCTCACGCCCCTGAGATCACGACCTGAGCTGCATCGAAGAGTCGGCCGCTTAACCTACTGCACCACCCAGGTGCCCCTAATATTAGATTAGATTTTCATCACCACCCAAAAGAAACCCCAGACCTGTTAGGAACTTCCCATTCCCAGCCCAGTCCCCACAACCACTAATCTACTTTCTGTCTGTGTAGATTGTCTATTCTGGACATTTGGTAGAAATGGGACCCTAGGGTGCCTGGGTGGCTCAGTTGTTAAGCGTCTGCCTTCGGCTCAGGTCATGATCCCAGGGTCCTGGGATCGAGCCCTACATCGGGCTCCCTGCTCAGCGGGAAGCCTGCTTCTCCCTCTCCCACTCCCCCTGCTTGTGTTCCCTCTCTCGCCAAGTCTCTCTTTGTCAAATAAATAAATAAAATCTTAAAAAAAAAAAAAAAAAAAGAAATGGGACCCTACACTCTCTCCCTGAGTTCTCATATGGTCTGAGCCCAGGCTTAAGTCTCACCTCCCATAACTCTCCTACCAGCCCCAGGAGCCCCTCTATCTCCAATTGACAGATGAGGAATTTGAGTTCATTTGAGAGAAGCTGAACATCTCGCCCTGGGTCCTAAGGCTGGAGAGCAGGAGCTCTGGGGTCCATGAAGTCAGTGCCCTCTCTGTGGCCCAGGTCGCCCCAAAGAATGGTCTCCCCACCCCACCCCTGCCCCTGCCCCTGAGTCCTGTGGGCTTCCCCCAGGAAGCTGAACGCCCCCACCCCATCAC